TATATATATACACCTCCAGACTGATAGCCACCAATCAAGGCATGTTGATATTTACATAACTCCTCCCAAGAGCCAGCCCACTGTTTGCATCAAACCTCAGCGCTCTTGATAGAAGTACTGGGACAGGGTGCTGTGATATTTTCAGGAAGCCATGTTTTGCCTCTCCCACCAGTTATGATCTGCATGCATTGCATAGAGTAGCACACATGCTAATTACAGTTATATGGCCAGTTCACACCAATTGCGTTCCAGAATGTAGTGATCGCACACTAAACTCCCCCCTTCATTCTAGGGCAGGAGGGGGCGTGGTGGTGCATTGAAGTCAATGTGATTGCCAAGGGCATAAGGAGCCCCTATGTGGCCAGGTAATGTGAGTATTAGTAGGTCGGAGGAACCCCTTTGAAAGGCCACTGTCACTTTGCCCTGAATTAGGTCAGGTGGGAGTGTCTCTTTTTAAATGAAGTTGTGATGTAGTAAAGGTACAAACTAATAGAAGGGCTGGATTTCACAAATGCGGTCATAGTATGAAATGGATATTTTCATGTTCTGCTTGGTGGTATTATTTGTGTAGGAGCAAATGTGCTTTATTGAGTCCTATCATTTTACTTTTTTCCTCTCTCAGTGATCTGGTATGGTTCCTGGTCTCTATTAGAAGTTCCCCATTGTGAGAATGCCAAGCAACTTATTAAAGTTGAGCTCCTCAAGTATAGAATCGGACTCCTATAATCGCGGTGACTTTGAAAGAAGTGGAAGTTTTGATAGTCAAGGCAGTCACCATTCCAGATCCAGGAGCTCCAATATGGTAAGACCATTAGACGGAAAGTTTTACACATTTTAGGTAATGATTGCTGATTTGTCAAGCGTGCTGTTCATTTGTAGTTTTGGGCAAGCTTTGTGAAGATGTATTCATTAATTTATTACAGGTTTTTATATTGCGCCGGCAGTTTACACAGAGCTTTACATTCTGCACATTCACACCAGTCCCTGCCCTCAAGGAGCTTACAATCTAAGGTCCCTATATCACATGCATACATACAAGGGCCGATTTAGACAGGAGCCAATTAACCTTTCAGCAATTCTTTGGAGTGTGGGAGGAAACAGGAGTACCTGGAGTAAACACACGCAAGTGCAGGGAGAACATGCAAACTCCTTTGCAGATAGTGACCCGGCTGGGATTTGAACCAGGGACCCCCAGTGCTTAGGACTTTTTGGATTTGTGCATGAATGGCTTGTAACATTTAGTCTGCTTTTCATCAGGAACATAAATAAGATAGAAAACATTCTCAGGATATTTATGTGTATATACTGTATATGTAAACATCTAGGATAATGATCTCTTGTAAAGCAGGTAATTGGAGTCAGGTATTCCAGTTAAGTTAGGTGTGGATTGTCCTGCCCTGTCCTGTATAAGAGCACATAATTTTGGCTACCGACTCTTCAGAAGAGAATTTGCCTGCAGTGCCATATGGCCAAATTAAAGAGATTTCAGAGGATAAGCTTCTAAAGCTCATAGTAATAAGGGGTTTGCAGAGCACAGTTTTTACATAAATGAAGTGAATCACCCTCTTCCTAGGAACTGGCATTCTCAAAATATAAAAACGTATGCTGTACAATTCTTATAGAGATGACAAAGAACCCCAGAGTATTAACCAAGGAACTGCATCTTTTGTACTTTATGCCGTCTGTAGACATTAGAGGTCAGGCACAATTCAACTACACTTATTCATGTTGGCTGCCAGGTTCCTAAATATGCATTATCTCATTGTAGAACCATGTGTTCATGTTTAGCCTATAGAGGGGGCAGGGGTAGACAACCTCGACACTCCAACTTTGGTGAAACTTCAACTACTATAGTGCCTCTGCCTCATGCCTGTGGCTGTCAATGTCTTGCAAAGCCTCATGGGACTTGTAGTTCCACAACAGCTAGAGTGCCAAGGTTGCCTTTCCCTTCTATACTGATACCTCTTGTACTGTCTTGCATAACATCTCTGTCATATTGTGACTGAGATTATTTACACAGTATGTATGCTTACTTCTAAGGCAACCTGATTGTACACCAGATTTTTACTTTTGATCCGATTGTTAAGTACTCTTACACTGTTCAGAAATGATAAAAGTTGTTTTTGTTGTGTAGGATTATAAAAAATAATAACACTTTAAAGCTTAACTTTGCTTTTAAAAGATATTAGCTCTTTTTTTAATTTACCTAGGGGCACCAACCATTTTTGCAAACATATTCTCTTACCTCTGCCTTTTCTTTGTCCTGATCTCTGCGAGCTACAATCACAGGTTCATGCTGGTGTAAACATTGCATTGCTTACATTCAACCTGTCTGCACTATGCAGTACAGTGCAGACAAGACACATGTAGAACGTATAGCTAGAACCGAGAACAGCAAGAAAAGCTCCTGCACATACCTGTTTGATTCAATGTCTTCAGTGCCAATTTAAAGTTTTCAGACGGTTGATGCATATTTATTGAATCACACTGAATTTACTAGATATACATAGATAAATTATAAATACCATCAGTAATGCCTCCTGCTTTTTAAGTCTTTGAGTCTGAAGCAAAGGGCTTTATAGATTTGGGGGATTTTTGATACTGCTCTGTGTCTGGACTTTGCAGATGCAGAATGACTTAGTTACACTCCTCTGATGCATTGCAATGGCACACTTTACATGAGTGGCACTTCATTTGAATGGCACCGCAACACACTAAGGCAATACAGCTTCAGCGCACATGCCTTGCAGCATATGTATGGTAACGCACGATTGTGTGTTGTCATTTACTGCTTCGGAAAAATGTTACATGTCCATTCTGGTGTATTGGAATGGATAGGCTGCCTTAACACAACACACTTTCGCACGTGACTTAACACGCTTGTTTTAAGACAGCACACCAAAATGGGAATGTGAATGGACCCTCCAACTTAACAGGCTCAGTGTGAACAAGACAGCTTCCTTGGCATGGTTGGATAAGAAGAGGAACCATTTTTCAGGCACTATGACAGCTGCCTTCAGAATCTTCTATCCAAGTGGCAGGAGTACAGGAATAATAAATAATTTCCGGTCCTTTTTATCTTTTTCTGGATTACTGGAAAAAAAGCATCCCTTTTTGCATACAGATTTAGCTTTCAAGGGTTTTAGGTTGAACTCCCTCATTATACCATTTCCAAATGATGGATAAAATGGCAATTAATGACTTGCAAAAAGTGTTAGGGAAATAATCATCTTAGGTGGACGTAATTAGCTTATTTATAGCAAGCACTGCTTGACGCGTTGCAGAGCTTTAACAGAACATGACATAAGCTGTTTCCATGGATACAAGAAGTTGAATACTCAGGCCATACATTCACTACTTCCTAACTATCAATTAGGAACCCAAAATGTGCACCTTTCCGTCTCCAACATGCTGTCTAAAGTGTCATCATTTGTTGACATGACTTTGTGTGAGAAGGTGACAGCAAAAGTGCTGGAGGGAAGGCATGTCTCCCTGGTAAATGACTGAATTTGTTAGAAGGCTTTAGGAAAATGCTGTTTCTAGAAATTGCTGTTTCTTAGAGAGTTTTATTAGGGAAACTTTAGGTAGGTTCCTTTAGGGCTAGTTCACTATAGCCTCAGTGCGTTCTGGCCCGATTCTGGCCAGAACGCACTGGATCGCATTCTGGCCGGCTCACTTTGTTTTGGCGCACTGTGGCCTCTGGCCACAGTGCGATTGGCCTCATGGGAACCCGTGGCACATCAATGCCTGCATCCTGGTCCGGTGCGGTCAGAAAAAATAGTGCATGCAGCATTTGTTCTGACCGCACTGGATCGGAATGCAGGCATTGATGTGCCACGCATTCCTGTGTGGCCGATCGCACTGCAGCCAGAGGGCGTGGCTGTGGTGCCATTGAGTTCAATGCATCTCTGTGCCCTCCTCCCGCCCCAAAACTAAGTGAGCCGTTCGGAATGCGATCTAGTGCTTTTCAGCCAGAATCGGGCCGAAACGCACTGAGGCTGGTGTGAACTAGCCCTGAAAGTGTAAAGCGCTGCGCAAACTGTTGGCACTATATAAATCCCGTATAATAATAATGATAATAATTTCCACTGTTGCGGCCAAATATGAGAACCAGCAAAACGTTTTCCCAGCACACTCACCAGCCAGCATGCAAAAAAAAACTTCCCATGCATCACTGCACCAATTTGTTTAGCATGCCGGCTGGTGAGTGTGCTGGGAAAACTTTTTGCTGTTTTACTGTTTAAGGCCCTTCCATGATCACCTTGCTGTAAAGCTGGTAACAAATTGATGAGTGCGTTTGCCATTTGTTTTGCTTGACTGATTTGGCGCAGTGATGCATGGGGGGTCTCAGCTGCCGTGTGATGTGCGGGATCCCTTGTGCATCCCTGTGCCTTTAAGGGAGGTTGGGCTTCCTCCTGACAAACCTGCACCCAATTTGATCTTTTGCCCCATGTGCTCCAAGATGGAGACTCTCATAGTTTAGAGTTAGGACCGCACTATAAGAGGTGCCTTGGCGCGGCTGTGCGGCTTTCACATTTTCTGCAGAAGACGTGTATCTAAACCTCTGTTTTTAACCTTAGCGGTGAGACAAGTTTTTTTGCATGCTGGCTGGTGAGTGTGCTGGGAAAACCCTTTGCTGTTTTACTGTTTAAGGCCCTTCCATGTGCACCTTGCTGTAAAGCCCGTAACAAATTGATGAGTGCGTTTGCCATTTGTTTTGCTTGACAAATACGAGAACCCCCCTATATGTTTGTTGTGTGTTCTCATGTACACAGCATACCTAAAATAAAATAAAAAACCCATGTGTTAACTTTCTAGCTCGCTGTTTCTTTGAAGCAGGATTACACATAGAGGAGGATTTATCAAAACTGGAGCCAAAAAAATCTGGAGCAGCTGAGCATGGCAACCATGGCAACCAGCTTCTATTCTGATTTTCAAACCTTAAAGGATAATTAAACCCTCCCATTTTTTTGCATATATCTACTGCTATCAAACAGTAGATATATGCAAAAACATTAAAAAAAAAGTTAAGAAGAGAGTTTAAACTTACCTGTCTGTGTCTCCGCTGCACGCTCTCGCCAGAAGTTCTGAAGATTTTTTGGGAGGCCGCATAGGATCATGGGGCGGGCACATGCGCAGTACAGATCTTCGGCTGGGAGAAGGGGGGGAGACACAAGGTAAATCAATGCAGGCAGTGAGAAAAAGAAAAAGATGGGGGGGGGCGGACTTTAACCTTTAATGTCATTTAACTGAACAAACTGAAGAGAGAAGTTGATTGGTTGCCATGGACAACTGCTCCACATTCTACCTGCTCCAATTTTGAGTAATTCCCCCCCATAGGACTTCACAGGAAGCTTCTAGTCATTAGAATAGTGATCTGATAAGGGACTGATTGAGAGACAGTTTTTTGAAAGCTGTTTAACATACAACTCCAAGTAACCTGGAGCCCTGTATGCATGTGAGATAGGGACCTTAGATTGTAAGCTCCATTAGGGCAGGTTCACACCATTTTCCGGATCAGATCTGGAACGCGTGCATTGCGTTTTACCGCATTTTTAGCGCAATTTTGCCGCGTCTGGAATTGTTTTTAGCTTAAAATGGTCTTACAGGTGCGTTCCAGTGCGTTTATGTGTTTTTGGTGCGTTTTTATGCATTCCAGTGCAGACAAAATAAGACAAGCAGTATTTTTTCTGGTCTGGTCTGGACTGGGCTGGTGTGAACAGAGGCCAGAAATAGCATAGGGATACGATAGGATGCATTTTGGGTCCGGAAACAATTGCGTCTGGTATGGAGATGATACGGACATGGTGTGAATGGGCCCTGAGGGTAGGGGCTGATGTAAATGTGCAACTATGTAAAGTGCTGCCTAATTTATCAAAACTGGGGCAGACAGAATTCGGAGCAGTTGCCCATAGTAACCAATCAGCTTCTCTCTTCAGTTAAGCTTTGAATTGAAAGATAGAAACTAATATGTTACTATGGGCAACTGCTTCAGATTCTGTCTGCTCCAGTTTCCTCTCATTGTCCTTAGCTTTTTAACCCTTTGTTAGGACAGACAGTCCTGCTCATCTAGTTTGCAAGTGATAATGAAATCTGCCTGTACAATACAGACAGGGTTAAGTATTCGAAACAAAACTCCTCCCAGGTAGTGAGAACTAAGCAGGATTTTTCCGTCCTGGAGTTTGCAGAAACATCATCAATAAGGCCTCATTCACACAGCTTAGAGTTGGCCTGTACAGACCCGTGGGGCGTGTATGGCCGTTCGGGCAATTCCCGGGAAGGACAGGTGCTGCGTGTGATTTCTACGCAGCAGCTTGTTCTGCCCTGTGGGAGTACGCGGCCGTATGCCACCGTATGCTCACCTGAGCTGCACATCCGTGCGGGTGTCCATACTCGTACACAGACAGAATGGATCTTCTCTTTTCAAGTTATGCTATGTGAATGAGAACATGTAACATAATGTAAAGTAGGTGTTATGCCAATTTGGCTGCAAAATTGGAAATACCATTTAAATAAGGTCAAAAGGACTTTTTCAGTGATATATTAGTTTGCATACAGTAGCCCCTGTGTCTATACACAAATTTATCATCACAGAGTAGAAGATTGTAAAAAGTAGAAGGTCAGTACTGCAATGTAAGAACACCGATTTCATTATAATAAAGTTAACCATTAATTTTGTTACAAGCTGGTTTCTGTGCCTCTTAGAAGCAGTCATTACTTTAAAGCTGTTTTGAAAACAGCAGCTTGCTCGTAACAAGAATATTAAGTTTCATTTGTTATGTCATTGTCATTTACCTGCGCATGGACTTCATGTGTAAATAGCAGTGAAGTCCTGGTTATGTTTGTGTACGTGATACATGTAGAGTTCCTAGAATACCAACAAAGCCTTAAAAGGAATTTGCAACCCTAGCTACTCATTAGCACAACGCTGTATTTATGTCTTACTGAGTAATAAAACACAGCTTCCTTCCACTCGTTATGGACTGCTGGGTAGACTGGTCAATCAACCTACATCAGTCACCCTGACTTTAGAATGCCAATTTATTATAAGCAACATGGAATGCACCACACGTTTGCCTGCATACTAAGGGTTTGCATTTCCATATTAAGTGCAGATACTCTGCATGTCATATTATGGATATATATTGTAAAAAGAGTAGTTTGTAGTTTTTCATTTCGCTAAAAGATAGATTCAATATTAGACAAAAATACACCAAAGGCTCCCTATTTAAAGAGCAGTACAGGAACTTGTCAATCATTGGACTGCTAATGTTATCCAGGAAGAACTGCAGACTGTGCCAACATCAGAAAACAGGATTTCTGGGTGAGCTTGTAGCTTCTTCTCATATAATTCCATGTTACGCAACTTGATCTCATCTTCCTTTGTGGGTAACAGGGAAGGTGGAGCTTGAACCAGTGAACACCCTAATCCAAACCATCAACCGCACACTACTCGTCTTCACCAAATAATGCTTTTATTGAAGTTTATAGTTCACAATTGCATGTAGTCTCCACCTCTTCAACTACCTGCCGCTAATGCGTTTCAATCGTAGAGCCTATGCGCCCATTGATCTCATGATTAAGCCAGTGAGGGTGAAACACATCAGGAGTAGGCGGTTGAAGATGCAGCGACTACATGCCATTGTGAACTGTGAGCTTCAGTTTTATTTGGTAAAGACAAGCAGTGTGCAGTTGATTGTTTGAAGTGAGATATGGGAGCGAGGATGGGCTCATGACCTTCCCAAACACAGTGACTAGTGTGAGAATTGGAGCAGTAATTTTCTTTGATATGGGCTACAGTGAAAACCCCAACCTGCATTTTTATTTCAGACTTGGGTGTATTAAGGAAACCAGAAGCATTAGTAGTAACTCGTGAGCAGATTTGAGTCTGCCATTGTGTACCTCTCTTGAAAAAACTAGGTGACTGGCTGTCAGACTGTTCCAATAGTGTCAGTACCTTCTGAGCTGTTGATCTGGAACAAGAATGCAGATCTGGGGTTCTAACTGCACTGGCTGCATGCTTGTTCCAGGTCATTGACTCGAAGTACTGAGACCACAAACAGCCAGGCAGCTAGCACTTTCATAAGACAATCTACAATGGCGACCTATAAATTTTTTCAGTACAGAATTCCTCTAAGAAGATAACAATCTATAAGTATGAGGATTTAGGTAGCAGCTCTTCTAGGGGTAAATGATGAATGCCAAGGTTAAAATTAGAGTCTACCAACCTACTATGGCATATATTAGCTTTTAAATGGTAATGTAAAGAGCATTACCTTTAGCTGGCATTTACAAAGGTTTTAACACACTTTAAGCAGTGTTTGAATCCCTTGAAGAACCCTTTAGCTCCAGCCTGGGAGTGTTGTATACAGATAATATTGAGAGTAACGGCTGTAACACTAAGCAAGCCTTTAACAGATTTTAGAAAGGTTCAACTAATGCTGAACCTTGATTTACCTTGTTGAAGCCTTTATGTACTAGCTACCAGCATTGTTGCTCTCTGTCATGCATTTTGAGCAGCGTAACTTTCCACTTCCACTTTCACAGATGAAATAGCATGTGCGATAAAGCACGTTCGCTTTAGACATGATCAGCCACATTTCAAACTGGCAAGTTAATAGAAAGTGAGTGATCACCCTGCTTGCCCAAAATAAACATGCTTTACCCATAAAGTGGAATGTCCATGTTCACGGAGGCAGTTTTGTTGATTTATGCTTTATCATTAGATTAATGTCTGAGAATATATTATATTTTCTAGCTTTATTAGAACACCTATACAGGGAGCTGGGCCGGGAGCCCTGAAAGGCAAGTTAGGTACAGAATTATCTTTGTCTCGGAAACATGTCAAATAGTGCAGTAAATTGTATACAAAGTACCTTAAATGCTTAAATGTAAACCTGAATGTATTCAAATCTCTTCTGTTTCAGCACTTTATTATTTGCTTTATTGCCCACCCATTACATCTACATCATCTACTTGAACAAATTGTAATATTGTGTTTTTTATATGCAACTACTAGAAAACATTTTCATTTAATGCAAGGTCTAAATTTAACTTGTGTTGGCTATTGTAGTGTAATTGATTTTTGAATTGCGTCCCCTTTTTGTAGGACGATGAGAACATGAAATATCTAACAAATGAGGAGAAGAATGCCCTCCTGTTTTTCGAAGAAACTTTGGATGCATTTGAAGATGACATTGAGGAGCCACCAGTCTCTGTCAATTCAAGTTTTAATTGTTACTCACCCAGATCGACAGATAGTCACTCTGACGGCGAAGACATAATTGACCTAGTGCGGATGGGACACAATCATGAAGGAATCTCATTAGGTATGGTACTCATTCACAGGTCAATACAAACATATCCTGTCATCTTGCGTAGTGAAGAAAGTACACTGCTGTGTTTAGCACTCATTAGTGCAATGTGTAAACGCATGGTTGTTCTGATGGACTGAGGTACTATTGTTCAGGAACATTTGACTCAGAGCTATACGCATATCAAATATTATGATGTTTTAAGGCTTAAAGAATGTTTGGTTTGCAAAGTGACTGTTCATTTAGGGCTTTGTTTAAATACCTAGTCATGTGAAAGGAATACAGGATTTTTTTTCTTGCATATGATTGGATGAATGAAGCAAACACAGCTTTACCTTATTCACTAAGCTAACATTCACTTTGCAAATTGCAAATTCTCTACATTTATTAAATTAACCTGTATGTCTTGGATCCAGTAAACCATTGCAAACAGTCTGTGATCTTTCAGAATAGCCCGAACAGCAGTGTGAAGCCTGCCGGAGGTTCGGCTCAGCCAACTTCAACTTCTTCTGCACTTCGGGTCAGCCGAACATGCTGAGCATGTTCGGCTGATCCGAAGCCACACGAAGCAAGCCAATGTACGGCTGATTTCAGCCGTACCAGCCTGAAGTGAATAGCCGAACGGTGTTCGGCTCACTTCACTTCTGATCGGTCATTCACTCGGCTGCCCTCGGCAGCTTTGTGAATAGACCCCTTAGATTGGGGAATTCCGTCAAAAAGCCACCAATGATGAGTAAGCACATGCTAAGTCCAACCTAAGAGTAATGTGTAGTTATGACTTATCATCAAAGCATAGCGAGATACACTGATTGCATTAGGAGTATCTACCAAATAAACTCACTTTATGCCACAATACCAGTGTGCTAAGGCTTTATTAAAGGTCTTGACGGCAAAATTCATGTGTTCATCTTTGATTTAGTCATTTGATTTTATAAAAAATATTAGCTGGTGCTCCAAAGTAACAAAGTTTCATTTTACCTTTGACATGATGGCATTATTATCTTGATGTTATCATTTTGAAGCCATTTAAACACCATAACTAAAAAAATAAACTTGCGGTACCTACACTTTGTAAAATATCCTTCTGTAAGTTTTCCTCTGTCCTTAATCTATGGATTTATAGACTTCATTAAATTGTATTTTGGGGCAACTGCATACCAGCACACAGATTGTATACTTCTTCTGGACCACAGCAGTTTCTATATTTTAGCTATGTGTTCCTGTAGCGAAGTGCTAATTTTGTTCTTTGGTTGGCCCATTTTATAATAATAGTATAATAAAATTATTTAGATAAGTTATTTACAAAGAAAATGCTATATTTAATGTGTATTTTTAATGTAACAGTACAAGAATGAGTAAAAAACACTAATAAAAAGGTTATATATGAACGGTAAAAAAAAAAAGTACAACTGTTAGCTAAGGGAAATATTAGAGAAAGGACTTTAACTAGGTCTGATTAGGGCTAAATGAGGATTATTAAGTAGTTAAATGAGAACAGTTAAAAAAAATGATGATATATATATATACTGTATATACACACACACACACACACTGCTTTATCTAACATTATGTGCAGATCAAACAATACTCATTTAATCAGCACATAAAGGAACTAGTCTAAATACACCGCAATAATAATACTGTTACTGTTCAATTTGTCATTGAAGACTACAGACTTGGCAAGCTTTATTTACATAGAATCTGCTGCTTGCATTCTTCCTAAACAGAGCAGGACTTGATTTTCAAGCTGAAGTCTGGTCCCAGTGATTTCCCCAGGTGCAGTGGCTGTGGTGGGAGAAGGAAGTCCTGGGCGCAACATGTGCCCAAGGAGCTTAGATGAAGACTTTTTTTTTGGTGCACCTCATATGTCCAAGGTCATTAATCGTCTACCTCAGACTGCCAGTTTATTTTTTATTATTATTACTATTAGTTTATTATTTATTTATTTAAACCTAGCTTTAAAAAAATATTTTTTTAATGCCAAATAGTGATCATTTCTGTTTCTACAGATACTGGTTCTGGACCAACTACCGGTGCTCAGAGAAACACACAGCATGACTCCAGACTATTGGATGCCACCGGCTCTGCAAGTGTGCCTGTGACTGTCCCAGCAAGGAAGGAAGACCATTTTCCTTCTGAACCGCCAATAGACTATCCTAGATTTCTTGGAGCTGTTCCCACCCCTGTGATTATAGCACAAAAGATTTCAGAGAAGAAAGCAGAGAATGTACACTTGTTCTCAATGTCACCTAAAGAGGAGAAATCACCAGAGGTGAAAAAGAGTGTAGCTACCTCACCGATTGGTGAGGGTAGTTTTGTATTTCCTGGGTCACATAATGGCAAAATTAACCGGTTTCCTAACAACATAAGTGTTAAACTTGCTGGGAAACAGTATAACAAAACTATTGCCAAGGCATCTGTCAATGTACAAGAACGAAAAGCTCAAGTCCTGGCCAATTTACATGGACCAACATTGTTTGGAGAGGAAATTGATGGAAAAAACAGTGAACAACTCATTCGGAAGACATCATTTCGGGATGTGGCCTCTGAACAAGCAAGATATGAAGCACTGACTAAGCTTGGTTTGGTTAAAGAAATGCCAGTTCAAGCTGACGTACATACTAGTGCATGCACCTCTCCTGTTTCAAATGGTCCACACTCGCCAAATTTTTTCCCTCCAGAAATACAGAGGAGACTTTCAAATGAAAGAGTGAATACTAACACTCAACACTCACCAAAGATCCTAAGTCCAGAATCAAATACAAAGGTTTCAAATGAGCACCATGTTATCAGTGGTCAGAACTCATCAAAATTTTTCACTACAGAAACAAAAAGGATAGCTTCAAAAGAGCAAGATCACATGAGTGGACAGCACTCAACAAAGGTCTTGACTCAAGAATCAAAAAGGAGACTTTCAAATGAGCATGTGAGTATACATGTTCAACACTCACCGAAGATCCTCTCTTCAGAAGCAAATACAAATAATTCAAATGAACAACATAATATCAATGGTCATAACTCGTCAAAGTTTTTTACTGCAGAAACAAAAAGGATACCTTCAAAAGAGCAAGATCACATGGGTGGTCAGCACCCGCCAAAGGTGTTGGCTGAGGAATTGAACAGTAGACTTACAAATAACCAAGAGAGTGTCAGCAAAATTTTGAGGAGAGAACCCAGTGCCTTTGTTCCTTTGGGGAAAACTATTGTTATTAAAGGGGATAACACAGCCACACCATTGGATACAAGTAAGTGTCACAGTAGCGTACATATTAATCAAGAGCAAAAGCAACCAAATACTCAACAAGAAATCAAGAGAACATATTCAGTGCCAAGGCCTACTGGTTTTAGATCTCAGGGGATTACTGTACAGTTCTCTGGACGAGATTCTTCTGAAGAAACTAGAAAAGATGCATTGAGAAAACTTGGCCTACTAAAAGGACAGTCTGGCCAGTGAATTCATGTTGTGTCCATACGGTTGACATAGCTGAAAATTGTATGTGAAGTGCGCACACTGCACAAACTATAGACTAGTAGCCTCTGAAGGAATTTGTTATCTGTACACACTTATGATAGGTAATATTATCATTAAACCAAAGAATTTTTGAAAATGTGAATAGAATACGATTCTATGTAATAATTATTACAACCCTTTTATGTATATATGTTTAGTTAGTGGACAGGAAACAGGCTTTGGTATTTATTATATATTGTATTAGCCAAATCTAATGTACATTCAAGACATTCAGTATCTTTTCCAACCTTGTACAGTCCAGATTATATTGCCATTACCAATATGGAGTTCATCTACATGTGGGTTAAGCAGACCACAGATGTTTTGCATTAGTCAATTCATCAAAAATGTACCAACAGCTTTTTAATAAAAACAACGTTTCCTGTTCTCATATTTATTCTTTATGCTCTAAGCATACAATAAGCTGCTTCTCACACTACATTACCTGTTTTTACATATAGCCCTAAGAAGTACTATAAACCATAAATGACTTCTAAGGTAAATCAATGCAATATAACACATTTTCAGGTTCTCCAAGCCGGCCTGGAGCAGAAGTTTAGCAGCTCTGATAGATGTCTGAGCATGTGGTTACCCTCAGCCCTCTTGTAAAAAATTCCAAAAATTGTTTACAGCCTTAATGTCTTTATATATTTATATCCACCTATTTATCAATACACACAACATTATATATATATATATTTTTTCTCTGTGTTAAAGTTAGCAAAGAGTGTAAACAAGCAAAAGCATGGGTTTTATATATTTATATGTCGAGGCTACTTACTACTCCCAGTGGTAAGTCCAACAGGAACCATGTAAGCACATGACCTAAAGAGTAAGGGCACCAGGACTAACTGGAAGTACACATACATCTTCTCACAATGTACTACAGATATTGTAGCCCAGTACACACCACTGTGACAGAAATTAATATGAAGGGTGCACACAGCCTTTTGAAAAACTTTAGTGTAGGGCCCTGTACACCTTGACAATATTCGTTGTACACTTTATACAACTATTAACCGGCCTGTTCTGTCTGCAATAAAGACTAAAGTGTTTAAGAAGACTACGAGTACCCCACATTTCCTGGATCTCGACTGGTTTTTACTCCGAGCCTAGGGCTCTCTCCACATATCAGTTGTTCAATATAAAATGTCAGTTCTAATGTACATACTGATACCTTGGCAGTCAGCATATAGCAAGGCCTTGGGACACTTCTAATGACATTTAATCTTGTTCTCAGGTGGCCTACACAGCGTATATAATATCATGGTTATATTATATCCACAGTAGAATATTAGATACATTGTCGTTCTCTCCAATCAGATGTACAGGTATGTACATGTCTGCCCTTGTGCTGCTATAATGAACTGTAACTCTCCTATGATGTTTCACACGCTTTCCTCTTTGATCACAACGATCACTATAACAGAAGCTTTTTTTTGCAATTAAAGCTTTACCCTTTCCTTTTAAATGCAAGAATACAAAAGACTCGTTCTTAGACTCCTCATAATAAGACTTCATCATAATCAGCATGTGTCTTTGATGGAGTTACAAGGAGAGTTCATTTTGTGCTGATTTTGGTCATATTTTTCTTAATTTTTTCAGGCCCTTTGTAACTAATCTTAAAACAATACCTGTTGATTTTGCCAGAAATGCACTATCCTTGTCACTCCCTGAGAGCTTAAAAAGTCAAAAAGCTCTTGTGAATGAGAATAACACAAACAGCATACAAAACTCTTCTATGTTCTCTGACTTAAAGGAGAACCCCATTATGGATAGAACAGGGAGGAGGCATGTGGGAATTGGGAATTAAATCCTGCTTCAATAGCCTGAGTCCTAAGAGTCATTCATCTTTCTCCATCAGATCCTACAGGGACCCTTGTCAGCGCTGTATCCTGTATGCCAGAAGATTTAGCTGAGACTTCTATGGAGTAATCTTCCCTCTGGCACCCAACCTTAGGCAGCAAGGCTTCACTTATTTTACTTAAAGTGCATCTGTGCCCAGAATATGGACATTAAACTGTTTACATATTCTTAACAAACAGTGTAAGCGCTTTAAACAACCTATCCTTGACCTCTCTAGCTGTTGTACTGTGAAGTAAATCATTCTGAAAAATCTTCAAAGCTCACAACAAAGACTCTGAAGTTGGGTTTCATTTGGTTTCTACGGGCCTATTCCCACCAACCCGGTTCACTGCAGTTTGTTAAACGCACTCACGTTGTGTTAGGGCAGCACGATTATTTGAATGGAATGCCCAAGGCACCACAACGGACAAAACATCATGCATGCAGCATTTACAGCAGTGCAACGCACAATAGTGCTTTGCCGCATGCCACACTGGAAAGGTTCCTTGGGATGCCACTCAGAAATAATTGGCTCTGCGTTGCACCAACATTCATAACGTGTATTACCATGCATTTGTTGCGGTAACACATGCATTTGAGTGAACAGCTTAGAAATACCTGCTGTGTATTTCAATTAGAAGGCTAATGGGCTGCCAAGAGCTGTTCTCCATAGAAACAAAAATATGATTTATGTGCCTCTGTTGTGAATTTATAAAAAGCATTCATCCACAAGGCCTATAGCTACAGAGGTGAATGAGGCCTTGTTTTAAGATGCTTTTACTGTTTGTTCAGAATATGTAAATACTTTTGTAGAAGGCTCTTATCTATTTGCTCAGCACAATCTGGGCACAGGTTCACTTTAACCTGGAGTTTTCTGGTAAAATGTATTTCAGATAGGGATGGATTATGGAAAGTGGAGCTGCTGCCCCTGGTAACCAGTCAGGTTGTTTCATTTGAAATAATAATAATTCTAATAACAATAAAATGCCATTTTGTTGCCACAAGCAAATTCTGGTCCTTCAGAGTTACATGTATCTAAGGATACATCATTTCGGGTACATTTTGTATAAAGCATTATAATAAATACATTGCAATTAATTTTGTTAGGATTGTGGCAAAACTTTTTTTTATTAGACTTCTGTACATTGTTTTATGTTTTCAAAATCATCTGTATAATTCTTTTTAATGTCATCATCATCTTTAACTGATGTTTATCTGGTAACGGTGTTCTGGAGAACTTTTTTTGTACGTCCTAGATACAGCACCTGCTCTATGCATATCTAAATAGAGTTTTATTTTTGTACAATGATCAGTTAAGTCTTAATATTCAAATATACAGAATATGCATATTTTGATTATCCAGTTGACCCAGTTATTGGCTGTGCACAGCTACTATACCAAATGTTTATCTAGCCCACAACATTTTGCTGTATTCCATTTTATTCTTGAGTTATATGAAACCTATATGGTAATTGCTGTTACATCAACCAGCTTTGTCTCTATTAATAAATACTTTTTGTCTTATGATATGTCTCTCTGGTTTCTGTTATTGAAACATTCATTACACATTCTTGAGTGATTGTGTACACGTGTCATGTAAGACAATCTGAGTCAAGTTTCAAGATGTCACAGGAAGTGGTGTGAGGTAGCTGTCTTTAAATTCATAAAGCAATGACAACAGCTAGTAGATCATTTACCTCTCAATTGTCCATCTTTTGGGACCAAAGACCTCTTTTTGGTCTGATGTATGGACCTCAATAAAAATGCACCATTTAACTACTAAACGTGTGTTATTGCATTTATTTTCCCGCAAAATCTGCAGTTCACTGACACACAGGCACATACAGTATGGGGAGCTAGAGTGCATGTGAGGCAGGGGACAGAGGAAATTGCTCAGGCAAGGTTGTGAGACACAGCACTATTTGGAAATGTCTATTATTAAAAGAAAATACAACAAAGATTTTATTTCTCTTTGCTTTACCATCACTTTCACAAATGTAGAAAAATGCCATTATACAGTATGTCTTCCATGTGCAAAACT